TACTCTTAGCAACTACACTAGGGTGACATATTTGTATTCGTGAAAGCTTTTGTGGTTGCAAAGTGCCATCTACTTGCAAGGAATTCTTAGCAGTGGTGGAAAAGATAAGAAATACACATAAAATCTGAACACTACAAGGGCTAGAAGATGTGACAGAAGCGGTGTCACAGGATGTCTTCTGGCGATTGGCAAATAAGGGGCAAAGTCTATATATACGAACTGGAGTTCATGACTCTCCATCCTGCTCTTCAGACTCTCAATGAGGAGTTTACTGGTTCCTACCTCCATGCCTCTGGCCCAGGCATTCCTTTGGTTGAACTACCTCCTTCCTCTGCAATTTGCATGCACATTCTAATAGCGCTTCAAGGTTTGGTTCAGGCTTTACTTCTCCATGAAGCCTTTCTGGACCACTGCATCCAACGACCTCTCCAGGAGACAATGCATTAGAGTGCAAAGTCCTCGGGTTTAGCTTTAGTACCTACAAACCGTGTAACCCTGAGCAAGTCATTTAGCTTCTTTGAACTTCAGTTTCCTCATAGGTAAAATCGGGTTCTTGTGAGAATTAAATAAGAACATCCATAAATTGCCTGGCACATGGTAGGTGCTCAAAAAATGCTGCTAATGTTAATCCTTTTCCCATTTTCTTAGAGGTCGGAACAACTGCAATTTAGCGATTGAGCCTGAATTGCCTTGCAATTTTCCTTTCTCACCATTTTGACTCTAACATTGCCATCACCTCTCAGGCACTTATGTCTCATCTTTCTAACTAAACTGCAAGTTCCTTCAAGGCCAGGAATGTATTCTGGTTGCTTTTGCATCTCCAGCAGCATACGGCACAATACTTAACACAGAAAAGTGCTCAATAAAAATCTGGACTGACTGGTATGGCTGGGCTGTATTCATGGAGGATGTAAGACCCTCAGAGGTTAATCTTGAAGTACAGGCAGCAATTAGACATATTCTAGGGCAGGCCCTAGAATTTGGTGGAAGCCCAGGCCTTCTCACCACCTTCCGCATCCCTGCACACTTGGCATTCATCTGATCAGAAACACGCTGGTGTTTGTAGAAGGCTGAGGCGCAATTTTGCCCAAATCAATTCTTCAGAAAGCTAAGGCCTCTTTTGAAAGCAAGCTTTTTCTATTTTAAGTACTATTAAGAAAGTAAAGGGAATTATAGTTTTACTTCTTTGAGCTTAAATAAGAAAAAGAAATCAGATAGCTAAAAATTACATTAACTTATCGGTCACATTACTTAAAAAAAAAAGCCCTCAAAATTATCCTAAAATGTCTTGTATTTGTAATGTACAATTTTTCTGTTTCAAAAATAAACTCAAAAAAAAAAAAAAAAAAAAAAAAAAAAAAAGAAGCAAAGGGACGTTCTGTCCGTAGTTCAGGTCCAAAACCCCAAACTATAACTTTTTAAAATAGCTCAATTTCCCACTCACAGAAATAACTTTTCTAGGGCAATTAGCATGTTTCAATATGCCAATCAGCAGAGTGAGAGCCGATCTGCATTGGTGACAGCAAAGTTTTCCCAGAAGCCCACATGGGTACAAGGTGTGCCGACGGCAGTTACATCCCAAGAACATTGAAATAATGATTGTGGATGGGGAGTAGTCACCCCAGTAATGAAAAAATCATTACTAACCTCTTCCACTCAGTCTGAGAGTTAGGAACATTCAGGAGAACCATCTAACAGAGAAAAAGAACTGGGTAAAAGGGGAGGGGTGGTAAAGGAGGAAAAAAGGAACTAATGTAACAGATCAACATGGATACACAATAATGGGCAATTTTGATAATGAAATAATAATATACTTGAGGCTTTGAGCCTTGAAGAAGAAAGGAGCTCGATGAAAAGAATCATTATTCTTTTTCTCTTTATTATTCTAGTAGAAGACAGCTGGCTGCAAACATAAATACTGGCCAGGCCAGAGTCTCTGGTCTGAGAAGGGGGCTGATACAGTGTCTTAAGTTTCTTTTCTGTTTCCAATCTCCCTTGCTCAGAACACATCGCATTTATAAGAAACTGTCATGGGCATTTCAGGGCAAAAGGCACAGGTCTGGGGATGCAGCTTGGGCCCAGTGCCTCATTCTGAGGACCAGACCACCAGCTTTGCAAGGTAAGAGCTATAACTGAAAAGCTAATATGCAGGCAAGTTCCACAGGCCCCCTACTTAACCCCCGCCCCCGCCCCCGCCGCCTCTTGGCTTGCACTTTCCAGAAGGTGGTTTAGCCTGGCGTGGATGATATTCTTTGCAAAGTCCCAGGCATAGATAAGGAACCCCATCACCATCAGACCAAAAAGCCACTGGCTATATAACAAGGAGCTCACAAAAGAGGCAGCTCATCTATTCTCCAAGCCATGGACTACTGACAGCTTGGGCTGGGGGGATCTTAACATGGGATCCATGGATGGGCTTATGGGCAAAAGGGGCAGGAGGTGGCAGTCTGTGTCCCCCCTGAAATTGTATGCAAACCTGTCTCTGCGCATCTGGGAAGAGGCTCTATGGCCCTCATCAACTTATCAAAGAAGCCTATGACCCAACACTTTTAGATGGAGAGAAGCTAAGCAGCATCTCCAGCATCTTGACTCACTAGTATTCAAACTCACACTGGATTTCAATCAGACAACAGGAAAAGGGCTCTGAAGTCTGAGTCAGGAGACCTGGGTTCGAGGCGCACCCACCTTGGCTTTTTAGGCAAGTCATTTATCCATCTAAGTTCCCCCTCTAGAAGGTTAGACCAGACAAGCTTTCAGCTCTCTGCTGATCTAATAATAGTTCTGTGATGCATTTCCCCTCCTTCCCTCCAAGAAACAAAAGGGAAATCGCCCTTGAGACACTTCATCTGAAGCCAGAAAGAGACCTACTCTGAAATCCTGGAGGCAAAGAGCACTTACTTGTAATATGGGCCATTGGAATACACGTTCCTTCTTCTAAGGTATCAGCTTCTAAGATGAAGAACCAGGAGGAAGTTGGATCTGGGTATTCTCTAGCTGGTCTGCAAACCCCAGTGCCAATGAGGCACAGGACAGAGTACTACAGCACATGGAAATTCACTGATGACCCAAATCCTTTAGCTGACTGTGGCAACTTCCTCCAACTCCCTCACTCTCTGTCTTTATATATGTGAGTGTATGTATGTCTGTGTTACTGGAATACACACCAATTAGTTCATTCTACTTTCCTTGTTTCCTCATTATAGCTAATTAGGAAAAAAAGGATTAAAAAGATCAAGGGCCAAGAAGGAAGGAAGGGCAAAAGAGAAGTCAAAAGCTGACTTCCTGCCTAACTGGATCATCAGGCTTAAAGAGTTGCCTACCTTCCTGTGTCTTATTTTAAGTCAAACAAGAGGTCTGAGTTCAAATAAGGGGTTGCAAAGCAAAAAGTCTGGAAAGCCAGGGTAACCCAGGAGTGGTCCCAACAACTTAAAATAACCAGACCAAGACCAAAGCCAGTTGTCAAGACATATGCAAATGGAGCCACCATTGTGAGCTTTTATCGGCTTCATTTTAGAAAAAGATTATTTACCAGAGTGATTGGAATCGCTAGTTAAGAGAGAGCTCATCAAAGAAATCTCAATGTTAAGGAAAGTTACTTGGACATTCTTGATAAGCTGGCTGGCTATAGCTTGACATTTATTTGGAAAGTATTAGGTGTCATAACAAATATAATAGAAAATCTGCCATTAGAGAGGGGAAGGGCAGAGAGGGAAAGGGAGGGAGGGAAGGAAGGAAGGAAGGGAGGGAGGGAGGGAGGGAGGGAGGGAGGGAGGGAGGGAGGAAGGAAGGGAGGAATTTCTACTGATGTATATATAATAGGCACCTAGAAAAGTATAACCATCATAAGGGTATACATGAGTATTTGTGGAGAGGGAGTGACTAAATCCTCAGAGAGAGTGAAGTGTAGCTGTGGTTGTAGGATCTGAGGCTTAGTCTCCACTCCCAACTCTGCCACTTAGAATTTGTATGTCTCCCTGAATGTCAGTTTCTTCTATAACAAAAGGCCATAATACTTGCCCTCACCCAGCTTAATATCTACGTTACACAATTGTTATTGGAAAAGACCTTGTAAACTATAAAATGCTATCCAAAGAGGAAGGGTTATCATTATGAGATTTAAACTATGATCTTAATGCATGAGGCAAATTTAAGTCATGAAAACAGAAAGCAGTAGGAAGGATTTCACAGGTGATTTCTTTCCCTGAGCTTTCTAACCCAGCCTGCTAATCCCTCTGCAGTCCCACATATGGGAGTCTGAGGACAGGGCCCAGCCACTCCTGTAGCTTCTGCTTCCCCTCTGCACTGGTTCATCACCCAGCCACCTGCCACAGGGGGATTCTACCTGCTAGCCACTGGGGGGATGTGTGGGCCAGACTGCCCTGTGGGTTTGGAGGAACAGGGAAGAAATCCAGTTCTTGCCCAAAGGGGCCTTTGACAAAGCAGATTATTCTGGACCAATGTGGCCGAGTCCACACTAGAGGCCCTTAGAACACCTAGAAGCCTCTGTCGAATGGGCGGGGCCCCCTTTCTCTTCACCAAACCCTTCCAAGAGCCTCTGTAGGCTTTTTTGGTCCGTTTTGGTTCTGGCCTAAACCCTTATTAAAGCCCTAGAGTTCCACACAATACTCTCGGCCCCATCAAGCCCCACTGTACCCAAACAGGGCTGCATCAGACCTCAACATTGAATGTGTAGATATTTAAAAACTTACATGGAGGGGGAAGGGGTAGAAACTACTATGTGTAAAATAAACAAGCTCTAAGGACACACTGCACAGCACAGAGAATATAGCCAATATTTCATAATAACTTTAAATGGAGATGAATCTATAAAAATACTGAATCACTGTTGTACACCTGAAACTGATATAATATCGTAAATCAGCTATACTTTAATAAAACTAATTTAAAAAATTAAAACTCACACGGGCACATGAGCTAAGGATGAGCAAGCAAATACCGTTTTGTATGTTGCTGGTATGTTCCTAGAAGAGGTTACTTACCAGCCGCGTATTTACCACAGGAAACAGCAGGGCAAGAAGAGCTCCATTCAACATGTGCATCTGTAGCCTGGAGAGGAAAAGAGATAAAGTGCAGGTCACACCCTGACTCTGATGCAGAGGCAGACAAAACTGTGTCAGGTTATGCCATGGCAGATGGGAGAGCATGTAAACAAGTGGCTCTCTGTGTAAAACGGCACTGGCATATTTTGCATTAACTGAAATATTCTGAAGAGCACCACCGCCACCTCAAAATCCCCCAACCACTTTGTGAACACGCTTTGGTTACAACACTTCATTGCATAATGAGCTCTGGGCTCCCTAAACATGCGGTCAGTCCCAATCGCAGCTCCAACTGCTGCGGATCAGGCAGCATTACAAAGGGGAACTGCGGGAGCCAGGTGTTATTACACTAGTGTGTTATTACAGTAGAGATCTGTTTCTTAAAGCAAGGCTGCTTATTTCCACAGCCATGCCCAAGGCTTCTCCCCAGACAGAGACCTGGGCATAAAAAGGCTAGCTAATACAACCCAGGGAGCCAACTGCAGCGTTTGCAAATGCGCTCTCCCACCTTCTTAGAAACACCTTCAGGGGCTGCTGCGGGAGGTGGGGAGGGCAGAAGTGGCAGCCTTCCAAACTTTCCTTCATCTATTTTACATACTGGGTTCTGTGATTTAAAAGCAAAACACAGAAGAAAAAAGAGACAGAGACAAGAAAACCACGGGTCTCCAGCATCGGGTAGGGATACCGTTTCCCAAGTCCAGACTTGTTAAAACCCACACTAGGAACCCTTTGTAAGGGGGTTCCTGATTGGCTCAAGAACAAGCAAGTCAGGAACAAATTCTGCTTGTGTGAGCTGTGGGGATGGAGTTAAGCAGCTTCCTTCATCCAGGCAAGTGGTCCTTTACTACTGAGGGAGAAGCAAAGAATGACAGTCTGTTCCTCCTGGAGAAAAGCTAATTTGACGGGTCACGTACAACCATCGCTGAGTCAACGTGGCTTCTGGACCTCAAGCTCACTCTCGCGCTCTCTCACACCCACACTCACAGCAGCCTCGTGATACCAGGATCTCTGTTACGCCCTGACTGGGACCTAGAAGAACTTAAGCTCTTCTCTTGGCGCTCACAGACGTGTGCCTAAGACTAACAGAAATGTTGTAAGGAGCCCCAAGGGAACAGCACACAAGCCCCAAGGCTGCTGTTTGTTTCTTTCTGCTGCTTGTTGTTACCAATGCTGCGATGATGGTGACGATGTGCACTTAACATATTCCAGGCAAGTATCAAATTAACTGCTTTAAGTAAATTCTCTCGCCGAATTCTTACAGCAATCTTATGAGATAGGTACAATTAGTGTTTGCATTTTGTGGATGAGGAAACCAGGCTCAGAAAAGTGAAGTGACTTTGTCAGTGTCACACAGAGGACAGTAGAGCCACAATGCAAACCCAGGTTTATCCGACTCCAGACCCCTCTCACTGTCTTGTATCAGAGCCTGACTCCCTTCCTCCATTGCAAATATGACCGCAGGTAGAGAGTCACAGGTGCTCCATTTTCTTTCCTTTTGGTTACGGGGTCTCTCTTACCACCTCCTTGGAGGTACACCAATGCAATGTCCCTCCCTGGGTTGGCCAGACTACCATGCTTTCACAACAGCATCCTTCTAGGGGGTACCCCATGCTCTCAGAAACTGACTGTTAAAAACTCTGGCTCGAGCCTCAGTGCCTGGAGCAGGGCTCATTAACAGCCGTTCCAGGGCTGGGGTGAAGTAACGTTTGGCCTAACTCTGCCCCCGGACCCTCCTAAGTGACAGCCACAGCAGAAACACTCGCCCTGGGAGAGGAAACATCTCACTGATAGTAGAGGTAAAGCTGAACTCTAGTGCCAGGCTTTGCCACTGACCTTAAAAGAATGCTGGCATTTACACAAGGCCGAGTAGATATTTGGGCAACAAAAGTTAAATCTTGAGGATAATGGAACTGATCCCAAAGGCCCACGGAAGGCCAGAGATAAAGAAGATAAAAGCCAACATCAAGATTCAAAATAACCAATAAATTCCTAGATAAAGATAAGCCTTGTTCTGGGTCCTCAAAATTCAGTTCCACAAGCTACATACAGGCCAAAGGGTGAATTATACTTAATATATAAAAGGGTCTTGCATATCACTAATTATAAAAAATATCTAACATATATTGAGCACTTTCATGTGCCAATCACTGGACTAAGTATTCAAATACATCATCTCATTTAATCCTCACAGTTTTTATTATAATCAGTATCAATTTCACAGCTAAGAAAACCAAAGCACTAAGTGATTAAGTGACTTGCCCAAGATCAAACAGATAATAAATAAGTGGCAGAGGGAGAAGTCACACTCACCAAGTTTCAAGACCGTGTTTTTGCTGCTGCACCCTGCACTTCAAATCCATGATATGAACGTTACACGTGTTACGTGCGTGTGCGTGTGTGTGTGTGTGTGTGTGTGTGTGTGTGTGTCAGACAACAGACCAGGTAGGAAAAAAGGTTCTGGGATGCCCATGGGACAGGGAAGGTCATGCCTAAGAGCGACGGAACCCCTAGTGTGTTCTGCCCCAATTACACAGCTTCACTGGCCTCTACAGACCCAGGGCACAGCCCAACAGGTAAATGACTGACCACATCAGAGGCAAAGGCTTTTGCTTTATACCACCTCCAGCCTGCCACTCAGATTTCTATTGGGTATTGGAAATAGAAAACGAACCACTAGAAAATCCAGTGAGAGTTCCTTCATCTGTACAATGGGAATTATAACAGTACCAACTCACAGAATTATGATAAGGAGTTGATATGTATAAAGTGCTTAAAAAAGTACATGGCATACAGTAAGACTCAGATACATGTTTCTTAAATAAATGGTGAAGAGCTCACCTAAAAGCCTCATATTAAAAGGCGAGAGGGATCATGAACCATGGAGGAAAGTCGAACTGTTTTAAAAATTCGAAGTGTGAGAAGGAGATCGAGAGAGAGCAAAAGGACAGACTGAAGGCCGGAACCAAAGAGTAGAGCTTGGAGATGGACTCCAGGTCAGTTCGTCACACTTATACATCTTCTTCTTGCTGGCTAGAACGCTTGGCCATTACCACTGTCACAAATATTCTGTCAGCTTTTTCTGTTTCTGTGTAGGATACTGTACTAAGTTACCTTAGTTGGTAACAACCTGGGGCAATATGGCGAGTGTTATGGGCTTGATTCTTTCAGGTCAGTTAATTTCATTAAATTTAGTCCACACACATTAGTCCCTTAGTGTGTGTCTAATATCGTTCCTGGTGCTATAGAGAAAAGGAGATCAATATAATTAAGACCTAGTATTTGCCTTCAAGAAGCTGACAATCGTATTGAGAAGCCAAGAAATAAAATAACTAGAGGAAATGTATTATAATGGTTAAGAACTTGGTTTGGAATCAAACCTACATTCAAATCCCAGCTCTACCATTTACTGGCTGAGTTGACTCTGGACAAACCACTTAAAATATGTGATTCAGAAACTTCCCTGGTGGTCCAGTGGTTAAGACTCTGCGCTTCCACTGCAGGGGGCATGGGTTTGATCCCCGGTCAGGGAACTAAGATCCTGCATGCCCCACGGCATGGCCAAATAAATAAATAAATAATAAAATTTTCAAAAATAAAGAAAAATATATGTGACTCTGTCTCCTCAGTAATAAAATGGGGCTAATAACAGTATCAACTAAAAGAGTTGTTGAGAGAATTTAAAGAGGTAAGACCATGTAAAGTGATCAACATAGTGCCTAGGACATAGTAAGCACTCAATACATGATAACTATTATAATCCTTAATAAAGCAAGGTAAAGGAATATCACATTATTATTCACAATGACAAATGAAGTTATTAAAAAACCCTCATCAAATGACATATTTGAATTTAGCACTTGATTATAACCAAGAATCAAAAGACATGGAACAGATAAAGTTCTCTGAGTGCCTGGAAAGGAAAATTCATAGAACGAAATTCTCAAAGGAAATTATAAAATATTTTGAACTGGACAAAAATTAAAATACGATATGCCCAAATGGGTGAGATGCTTATAACATGAAATTCTTATATTAGGAAAAAAGTATGGTCTCAAAGCAGTAACCCAAGATTCCACCTTCAGAATCCAAAAACAAGAAGAGCAAAATAAACCCAAAGCAAGCAGAAAGAATGAAATAATAAAGAGCAGAAATCAATGAAAGTAAAAACAAAAACAACAGAGAAAAATCAATGAAATCAAAAGCTTGCCTTTGAAAAAGGCAATATAATTGAGAAACCACTAGGCAGAATGACATGGATAAAAAGAGAATGCAAAAGTTATCAATATCAGGAAGGAAAGAAGGGATATCACTACAGTCCCTCAGGAATTAAAAGGATAATAAGGATATACTATGAATATTTCTATGCACATAATTCAAGAACTTAGAACAAAATGGAGAATCTCCTCTAAAACCGCAAACCACTAAAACTCACCAAAGATGAAATAGATAACCTGCACAGTCCAAACCTTGCCATTTGTGACAACATGGATGGACCTTGAGGGGATCATGCTGAGTGAGGTAAGTCAGAAAGAGAAAGACAAATTACTGCATGATCTCAATTATATGTAGAATCTAAAACAAACAAATAAACAAAATAACAAACTCATAGATTCGAAGAACAGACTGGTGGTTGCCAGAGGGCAGGGGGTTGAGGGTGGGTGAAATGGGTGAAGGTGGTCAAAAGGTACAAACTTCCAGTTATAAAAGAAATAAGTCATGGGGATGTAATGTACAGCGTGGTGATGATAGGTATTGTACTGTATTATTTGAAAGTTGCTAAGAGGGCATATCTTAAAAATTCTCATCATAAGAAAAAAAGATGCAACTATCTGTGGTGATGGAGATTAACCAGACTTATTGTGGTGATCATTTCACAGTATATACAAATGTCAAATCATTATGTTATATACCTGAAAGTAATATAATGTTATATGTCAAGTATATCTCAAAAAAAAAGAATCTGTAGTCAAAAATCTTCTGAATAAGACTCAGATGGCTTCAGTGATC